GGAGTATAGACGGCCTCAACACGCACGACGCCTCCTTCGCGTATGCTGTGGCAGGCGGCGTCACCACCGTGCAGGTCCTGCCCGACAGCGGACACAATGCGATCGGTGAGGGACTGGAACTCGGCTAGGTGTGGAGCGGCCTGCTCATGCTGTGGTATGCAGGCGGCCAGGCGTTCATGATCAAGCTGCGCAAGACGTCTCAGCGGACCCCGACCTCGATGCTCCTCGAGCCACCGTACCAGCTTAACGGCACCCGACCCGACCCGTACGCGCCCCGCTGGCGACACCTCATGTACGTCGTGAGCCCGTTAATGCAAGCGCTAGTGTTCACTTGACCCCGCATAACCCCGCCCTCGTCACCGCATCGACCTCGCGTTTTACGTGGTGGTGGTGCATACATACTGTGAAACGCTCTGTGGTTGTTTGCACAGGATGGCGTGCGGCGAGAGCACGCGGGCGTACGGAAACCGCATGGACAACATGTGGGCGCTCCGAGCTGCGTTCGCTATGGCGCGCGGGTTCCGCGACGCACAGGACGCGTTCTGCGCCCGCGCCGAGGCCGGGCTGTGGGGCGAGATCGGGAGCGAGGCGTATCCGGAGGACTACAGGTGGGAGGTCCTCGTAGACGTGCTCCGCGGCAAGACCAAGGTTAGATCACGTCTGCTTGCACTTGAGATGAGGGTGTTGCTAATCACTGCTCATGCCAAATGACTGTAGGTATCGGTGCAATGCGAGGAGGCGGTTGATTTGGATGCTTTGGTTAGAGTGCGTATCGTCAACATCAGCTCCGATGCCACATTGAAGTAGCGTTCGACCAGCTGTCACAAGAGTTCAAGATCCCGATTGCCTCCATCCAAGGTGCTCATGAGGCGTACTTGGTGTCTGGGCTGTTAAAAACGATGTAGGTGGTGCTTGTGGCATTGTCCGTGACCGATGTCTCATTCCAGTATAGGTATGGAGGCCTCCCAACTATTGCGCTGTCCGCTGATAGCTCGAGATATAAACGAGAGACATTCCGAGGATCAGAGTTCGCGCCACGCATTCTCGGAGAGAGTGGTTTCCAAGTGGCCATGAAGGTGATGATAGCGCATATACCATGCTCGCTGTTACCTCTGACAATCATGCATAGTCGGACCAGAATACGCATAACAGCAGGTACCTACTTTTCGAAGCTCAACAAGCGCACTACTATGGTAAACTCGCATTCATTGTGTAAGAAGGCCTATCTGTTGATCATCTTGTAGGCCTTCCACCGAACATGGCTCTCACAGCCGTAACCTCCGTTCCCGCGAATGCCGCCGGCCTCTCGCACCGCATCGGTATCCTGCGTGAAGGAGCCGACGCCGACCTCGTCCTATGGGACTCGCACCCGCTCCAGCTCGGTGCATGTCCACGGAGGGTCTGGATCGACGGCGTTCTGCAAGTAGATGCCGACCGCAGCCACATCCCGGTGGGAAAAGCGAAGAATACCTCCACACGCCGCGATCCCCCCAAGGTGCCGAACTTCGATGTCGAGAAGGAGAAGGTGCTTAGATACGACGGCCTGCTCTCGCTCCGACCGAACACAACTGTGGGAGGCCGAGTTGCGTTCCGCAACGTCAAGGAGCTCTTCACGCGGAACAACAGGGACTACCTCCACCCAGACTTGTTTCCCGGGCTGGACGTGCGCGAGGGCATGATGGACGTCATCGTTGAGCGCGGGAGGGTGACCTGTGTTGCAAGGGTGTGCGAGGGCGAGAATGCGGACGCTGTGGTGGATCTTCATGGAGGAGCGATCGCGCCTGGCATAATGAGCTTTGGCTCTGCCTTGGGCATCGAGGAGATCGAAAGCGAGCCGTCGACTGGGGACGGCATGAAGCTGGACCCGCTCAAGGGAGACATCCCGAAGGTGATGGGCGATGTTGGTGGTTTGGTGCGTGTGAGCGATGCGCTTCAGTTCGGGACGAGGAATGCTCTGTGGGTGACCTTCCTTGTTTCATCATGGTCCTGGAGGACGCTGAGCATGTCGTATAGGGTCGCTCATCGAGCGGGAGTCACATATGCGACGACATCGTTTGTTCGGCCGGCTGCGTTCTCCAGAGGCAGCTTCATGGGCGGACTCTCCGCAACTTTGCGCACGGGAGCACACCACGGCATGGAGCGTGCTGCAATCATCAAGCCTGTCACAGCGCTGCACGTCGTGATCGGAAGGCCTGCTCCCGTCTCTCCTGGTTATCCAGGTATGAGCATGAGTATGGAGATCGCCACCTTGCGTCGGTTGCTTCTGAATGGAGAAGACGCAAGTACGGAGACGGGCGAGTGGTTCAGGAAAGCCGCAAATGTGAGGGGATCCGCTTTCTTGTGTTCCGCTCGATCTCTCCGACTGAGCTGCCCGGATCCTTGCAGGGCGTCATCCCACTCGTGATCGACGTTTCAAGTGCGGATGTCATGGCCACCCTGATCAAGTTGAAGGATGAGGTGGAGGAGAAGCGTGGGTCGTATATGCGAATGATCTTCTCCCGTGCGACCGAGGCGCATATTCTCGCTGGGGAAATCGGTATGTCCTAGGATGTCGCGATGCTGGTTCGTATTCAAAACTCACATAGTGTCACTACAGCACACGCTAGGATCGGTGTCATCTTGAGCCCGTCAAGACAGTTTCCGTGGTCATGGGACGAGCGCAGAGTGTATGTTCCTTGACGAATTGCCCATTGTCCGTGGATGTGGCTAAGGCGGAGATGCACCCTTACAGCATTCCTGGTTCTCCCCTCACTAACGGCTCTGCTCTGACCACACTGCTCAAACACGGCGTTGTTGTCGGGCTGGGTACATGGGACACCATCCATGTGCAAGAGACCCGGTTTGATTTGGGATGGGTATGTGACCGTTGCGATACTGAGTTGACATTGCCTGACGCCTCAACTGTCTAGGCGATGCTGGACTCCAACGATTTGCTCACGAAAAAGCAAGCGTACGAACTCATGACGACCAATTTGGAGAGGCTGCTCGACCTCGAAGGCTTTGTCGGAGACATGGGCGAATTAGTAGCGTACGAAGGTGGGAGTGCGATGGACTTCACGAGCAAAGCTGTGGCCATCGTATCTCCTGCGCGAGGCTTGGTGGAGATTCTGTGAGGCGCTGATCGCAGGACATTTCTGATGATATGAGGTTGATGTTATTCCTTCCTCCTGGTTTTCCCATATATTTATGCTCTTTGGATCGTTTACATGACATATCCGGATTGCTACAATGCTACAACGGAGCCCGAGATGGGTCTCAACCAGACTTGCGATACGACTGTGCTACAGACGTGGCTTCTTCGCACGAGCCTCGACTAACTCGCCCAGGATCTTCCTCTTATCTTTCTTGGGCGATGCGGAGTAACCTGATCGCGCGGGCTGTCCTGAAGCCTCAGGAGCTGAGGTACCGGTGCTAGCCTCAAGATGCGCTCCAGAACCAGACTGGCCGGTAGCTTCACTGCAATTCAAAGCTTGCATCCATGAAGAGCACTGCCAACTAGATGTAGATGACGTACTCTTTAACACCTTCTGGTTCCACGGAGGGCGATGTCGCGAAGACGGCGTTCCGCCGACGCAAACGGGATGGCGTCTGAGGTTCTAACGCTTCCTCATCAGGTTCTGGTGTACTGTTGCGCTCCTCGGAAGTCCTCGTGCTTAAATCATATTTCAGGTAACAGTATAGCGGCAGGGAAACGTCTTCATGGTACATACCTTGCTTCTTGCTCGGATTCGATGAAGTCTTCTTCTGCCTCTTCCTCGGTAGTGTCCTCTTCTCTCCGTACATCCATTTTCGCCCATTGCTTTGCTACTTCCAAGAGAGCATCCCATTGTGCTGAAGGTGTGAGCTCTAGAGGTTCCAGCTCGTCTCGCCTACAGACAACTCGGCATACGGGGCAGCTGATAGAGTCGACGTCATCAGCGTAGCCATCGGCCTCTGGCTTCAGTTTCTTGACGCAGTCGTTGCAGACTATATGTTGGCATGGTAAACTGGTGCGACCATATGATCTTCAAGCAAATTTGCATTGGTAGTGAGGCAAGCATACCTCTGACACTTCTTCAGCTGGAGAGGTGAATCCAGGCATATGGGGCATTCTTCTTTTTCTCCAAGAGTGTTTGTCTCCATGAGTTCGCGGAACTCACGCAAAAGCTTTCAACACCTCGTCAGCAATCAACACTAGGAGCGTATGGACTTAGACCTCGTTTGAATACCTTGCGCATCTTGTGGGCCGAGTCGCCCACTTCAAATTCTGCATCTTCCACGAGGTCCTTGGCCTCGGACTTGGCCTCTCTCATGCTCAGCTGACAAGTTAACAGAGAATTTGAGCACCACCTCAACTACGTGCAGTCGCACATGAGGTAGTACTACCTCGTGTAACCTCTGCCTGTACTTTTCGTTTGACTAGGGACCATACATCGTGCACAAGAGGATCGTGTCAGTGAGGCCGGACGATGGACATTGTCAGCGAACTATTGAACGGACTAGGAGGATACTTCACCTTCTCCAACTTCGATACTTGTTTCTTCAACCGCTGAACCTCCTTAGAGTCAGCAGTCTGAGCTACATTCTTCCCCTTTGTCGGTTGAATGACAATATCGTCTGCTTCTTGGACCCTTGCAAGTTTGCTCTCGAGAGCCTTGACCGTATTCTTGAGCTGTTTGTTTTCACGCTCGACAGACTTCGCCCCCTTCAAGGCTCTCTCGAGTAATCCCTGAGAATTTGTGATCATTGCAATGAGTATGTTGCCAGAGTCCGGTAGCACTAATCATATAAGTAGACTCTTATAGCAACTGAAGTACTGACCTGCAATGTAGTGGTACCACTCTCGTTCGGCGCGTCGCCATCCTCTTCTCGCGACACCTTGGTGTCATTGCTTTCTTTGTCGGATCGCCCCCGTCTGCTGGAAGAACTCGGCCGGTTCGTGGAACGAGTGACAGGGCCCATGATGACTGCCCTGCTGAAGAGAGGGCAGGTATGCTCAGTCCAAAAAGGTGGAAAAGGAATGTCCCAGGCAGGATTCGAGCCTGCGTCTTCACGGATTTGCAATGCCACCAGTCGGCACCCACAACGTGATGATCTAACCACTAATCGACAAGGACCGAAGGAAACATAGACTAGTGTTAGACATGATCGTAGAAGCCTCCTCGGCACGTCTGAATCATACAGTGGATGTTGAATTAATGGGTCTCCCAAGACAGGCGGCAAGTGGTTTGCGAGGTATACTTACGCGCAGGTATTCCACAGCCCATATGATAGCTGTGGTAGTTTCGATCTGATGATTTGCTGTTGCAGTTCCGGATATTCAGGATACCCAATGTCCACACTCTCCTCCGTGCGTATAACCATCCTTGGTAGCGCGTCCGCCCAACCGTCCTCTACGCGAAATCACTCATCCCTAGCCCTGCGGCTTGGCGGAGACGCGTGGCTTTTCGATTGCGGTGAGGCGACCCAGCATCAAATCCAGAAAAGTTCGGTCAAAATGGGCAAAGTGCAGAAGATATTCATCACCCACACCCACGGTCAGTCATACAGTCTCTTGATCGGGCTCGAGGGCATACGGAACGAACCGGTGATCTATGAACATGTACATCATGTTTTGCCTGTAGGTGACCACATCTTTGGACTGCTACCGGTCCTCGCGATGCGCCTGAACGGCGCTGGAGGCATGGTCGATGTGGAGGATCCGCGTGCGGCATCCACACCTCTTGAAGACGTTCCGGTCAGTTCCTCCGGACGCCGCCGCTTGCATCTCTCCATGCGACCTCACGCAGATGCTCTATAGCCACTGGAGATATACGGCCCCTTGGGCACACGGGCGTACGTTCGCAACGGGCTCACATACACGCATACCTTGCTCGGTGCCCCATATGTCGTGCACGAACTCCGCTTCCCGACAGACCCTCCCTCAGGCGACCACACCGCTCTCGCGCCGCACCCTCTCGAACGCCCTGGCCGCAATATCGCACAGACCGACGGAGTATGGCCCACGATCTTTGAGGGGGCACTCGTCACGGTGTCCGCCGCGCCGATCATGCACTCCGTTCCCTGCGTTGGATACGTTGTGAACGAGCGCCCCGTTCCGGGAAAGATGGATCCGAAGAAATACGTCCCTGAGCTGAAGCGGACCAAGACCCCGATGTCGGTCATGAGCCGCCTGCAGCAGGGCGAGTCTGTCACGCTCTCGGACGGTACCGTCTTACACGGTCCTGCACGGAAGCCGGGACGGAAGATCGTGGTGCTGGGCGACACATACGACCCTTCTCCGATTGCGGGGCTTGCGGAGGACGCATGTCTGTTGATCCATGAGGCTACCAACGCGCACCTGCCTGGGATAGATCCGGATACAAAGGAGGTGGACACGTATGAGAGCGTGAAAGCGCGTACGATGTCGAGGGGTCATTCGACACCACAGATGGCCGGTGCTTTCGCGAAGCGGATACGGGCGAGGAAGTTGGTGCTGAATCATTTCTCTGCGAGGTATGCGGGGAATGATGATGTGAACGAAGAAGCGAGGCGTGTCATGGATGGGATACGAAGCCTGGCGGAGAGCACGTACGGAGGGGAGGTAGTCTGCGCAAGAGACTTGATGAGCTTTGACGTTGGACCGTGCAAGGAGTGATATGCGGAGGATAGCGAATCGCGATACAAAACCTACAAAGTGTATGTGAAGTAGATCAGAAACGACAGTTGCCCTCGCTTTAGTCATCTGGTGGCTCGGAGAGCTCGCTGCTTTCATCGCTAGCTTCCCCCTCTTCCAACTCTTCCTCCCGTATCTTTTTCTTCGACCTCATATCCTTTGGCTCCTCTCCTATCTCGCCCATCTCGATGTCGTCCTCATCCGTGATGATGGTGGGTGGAAGCGTGGGCGTACCTCGCGCTCCGGATAAGGGTGTACCGGTTGGTGAACTCGGCACAAATGACCGGGCGGCCGGATTGAGAACAGCTATAGCTTGCGCCAGTGGGATTTCATCCTCGGAGTCGTGCGCATCTTCCGTCGCCTTCGTGCTTCCGGTAGGATGTCGCGAGGTATCGCCATCCTCACGGAGCTCGCCAGATTCTTCTCGTGTCCGCACACTCGCACTTCCTTCCATATCCACATCCTCGTCTCCAGGATGTGTCTCTGGTGCCGGGGTTGATTCTTCCGCGGCGTCCTGCTTCCCTAACAGCCTGAGCTGGCCGATGTCGTTGACAATGGCATCTAGCGCAGTCTTCTGTGCCTGAAGCGTGCGGTCTTGATTCTCGTGCTCGGCCCGAATTGCAGCCATGTCGTTCTCCAAGGATTGTATCGATCTGGTACGGGGTAAGGATCTCCGTAGTAGGCCGCATCGTGGACACGCACTGTTCCAACTCGTCTCTACTAGGTAGCGAGTTCACCTTCTCGGCGATCACGTCGTACTCGATCTTCTGCTTGCGCTCTAGCTGCGCCTGCTCTAGAGTCGACTTGAGCTCCTCAATTTGGTCTTTTAGCCGGCTGTGCTCGTTCGCTGGTCACACGATCACATAAGAAGGGGGATGTGCGCGGAGCGAGAGAACACACCTATCCGCTCGCGCTCGCGTTGATACTCCTCTACCTGCCTCGCTTCAGCCTCGCACACCATAATACTCTTCTTGAGCGAGAGCTGGAACGAGGCCAACTCGAGGAGAAAGGCTTCTCGTGCATCGTCGACGGAGGAGGAGACCAAGGGCGACAGTGGGACGGCAGGGGTGTATGCGACGGAGGTGTAAGAATGGAACTTCTTCGTCACACGACGGAGTGCCTTCTCGTCGTTTGTAATGCGCGTGTGGATGATAACGTCTGGAAAGCAAACGTCTGTCTATCGCAGGCCATGAAACGGGTGCGCGCTGCATACCTTCCTGTTGCACAGAGAGTGGTGGCGGGACATACTCCTTCTCCGCGGCCGCGTCCATCCCGCAGGTCCCTCCGGATTACGACTGCAAGAGAACGCGAGGGTGGTGTGCTGAGAGAAGATGAACGCGAAGAGCAAGGTGCGGTATACTGCCCGGCGCCGGAACACAAGACGACACAAGACGACCTAAGCTGGCTCAAGCGCCGGCCCACAATGGTGGAACCGTGACACGTTCACGTGCCTGTGTGAGTAACGTGACCCTTGCAGGCGAAACGTGAGTTACGTAACCTTTCTCCGGGCCAGTGACGACAAGCACGTTCGTGCAGAATTGCCATCTTGGGAGACCGTATACCTAGCCCCGAACGCCTAATAATTCTCTTCTCCACTCACAGGTCCTCTCTTCTCGCGTTATCCACCCCTCATCTCTCCCCGCCATGTCTACCCAGCCCCTCCTTCAACGAACAGCCGCGAAACGCATCGCCCTCCCCGTCAAGGTCGAGCCAAAGGTCGCATTCGCTAACGAGCGCACCTTCCTCTCATGGCTCCATTTCACCGTCGTTCTGGGTGGTCTAGCGGTCGGGTTGCTCAACTTTGGTGACAAGGTTCGTCTCTGTGTTGTTTAGGTTCTCGGGACTTATTCAACCGCCCCGGTGCAGGTTGGGAGGATTAGTGCAGCCATGTTCTCCTTTGTTGGTGAGTAAATGCCTCTCCTTCCCAGTCGTGTGACACAATGTGCCGAACATGCCCTCTCAGCAATGGCTGTCATGGTCTATGCGCTATACACTTTCCACTGGCGCGCTGCATCCATTCGGCGTGGTGGCCGCGGTCCATACGATGACCGAGTTGGCCCGGTAAGTTTCCCGACCCGTCGGTAGCAGTTATGTTCTGACCAAAATCGTCCGTAGACAATCCTATGTGCCGCGCTGATCGGTGAGTCCACCGACCGTCGTTGTTTTGCGTCATATTCATTCCGATACAGTGGCCATCGTTGTGAATTTCGCCCTGCGCTTCACCCAGCCCGACTCGACACCCTAACGGTGACGGCCCGGAATTCACGTCCCTCTGCCTTGTGGGAGGCCCCTCCTGCGCTATGTATTTCGGTGATCCAGCTAGCATGCTTGGAAAGAAACCTCACAATCCAGGAGTCGGAGGAGGGAGTTGTGAGATTATGAGAGTTGTTGACCTGATCATACCACCCAGGCAGACGCCACATGTTGTTCACTTGACCTTCACAGTGCTGAACAGTTTGGTTACCTGTTCCAGTGATTGTCTGTATGGATGCATGGACGGCCATGGGGGCTGCCTACCCCTCAGACTGAGTTTGAAATCACCGTTTGGATTAAAGAGGCAACACGCATGTAAGAGCAGCAAAATCTACTTCTGTACACCAGTAAAGACAGGATTCTTGACCTCGTGAATGGGAGTCTTTCCTTCTGGCGTCCCTGGGATAGCCTTGACAAGACCCTGCACGCAACAAATGAGAGAGCATACGCAGAAACCGTGCGGATCCACTGACCAGCTTCTCGAACACGCACTTGTTGAGCACACGTTCGTCCTTCCGGCAGTGGTAGTATTCCTGTTGAGTCACAGCGGTTCTACTAGTCAGCACTTTCGTAATGCAATCTCAGTGAATTCTCAGGCGAATTCCGCAGCGGATCCCGCTGAAAGTCTTGGATTTTTTCAAGAGTGACTTGCCTGGTTGTTGTGCTCCAAGCAGTTCCAGTGCTTCTCAAACTCTGACAAGCAGTTCTCACGTAGTTTCGTTATTCTGTGTTGCAGGCATATCGAGAAGCGAAGTTGTGATGACCATGTCAGCATACAGGGTAAGGGAAGGGGTAAAGAACACGCACAGATCTTGCGCACAGCGCGTAACTCGCCGACCCTCCTTCAAACAATGCGCAGGGTCCCGGTTCTCCGCTTTGCAAAGCATGAAATCCTCTGTTGGCGTCCACAAATGTGGTGTGTCAGATTTATTCCACCAAACGAATGTCAATAGCAACCCCCGTGCTCTCAGAGTAGTAGCACCGTGGAGATGGGTTTCGCCATGACACGCTTCTTCCGCAGCACAAGGACTGGACACGCACCATTGTAATCCTTGCAGTACGCTCCGAGGAAGAAGGCCGCACTCTTCAATGGTGCGCTAGTGACGCCGAGCTCCTTGACCTTCGGGATATCCGAGGGGAGTGGCGTAGGGTCCTTGTACGGATGCGCGGACTCATCCGGGTCGAGATATCTGCTCATGGCGGCGGGGA